CAGTTCATTGATCATTATTATATAAATTATCTATATAGAATTTATCTGTATAGAACACACAACTTATCTTACCTCAATGCTCGTAGATGCCGCTCTTTAATATTCGCCAATCTTAACTAAAGCTTATCTCGTTTTTCGTCAACGAGCTCTTCGAGATGCGACATCACCACTCTGAGCTGACCGCAGCCGTGCATCGCGAAAACCGCGGCAAGACTGCACCCACTGATCTTGGAGTTGCTCACCACAATAGATGAAAGACATTGTTGTGTAAGCACAACTTTGTACACTGGATTGAATCTGGTATCCACGATCTTATTGTACGATGGGCACGGTAAGCGACCTATTTCATGGTCTCTTTACCGATCACCGCGTTTATTGGTGACAGTCCTCTTGCTAAGTTGTAACTTAACGAACTACCTTGTACGATCAGCGTACAAGCACCCGCTATGATCCGTCCTATGCGGTCGTTCTTCAACATCATTTCACGATCACGTTCTCTCTTTGCCATTTGCCAGTCCGTCTCCATATGTTCGATGGATCTACGTATTCGTTTATTGTGATATAAGAGTAAACAGTAACTGATTCCGCCCATAAGGCAATTACTCGTTGGTCCTACTGCCTTTAACTTGAGGCGGAAATCCTTCAAACAATATATACAGCATAGAACGTACCATGAAAAAAGCTATCAAAGAATGACACATGAATCTCAAGACTTTCTTCAGCATGTTTTTGCCCATTTAATTCGTCGGCCCTTCGGGCCAAGCGCCTAACGATTTCGAAATCCGACGATTTAATTGAAAACTATAGTCGTCTATAGAGATCGAGCGTGGATTCGCGAGAAGTGCGCTCCATGGTTCATGAACAAGAGACGCGTTTGCGATACTGATCGCTACTAGCCATGTAGTAGCCAGTAATGCCATTTGTAGGTCTCTGAGTAGCATGCTCCAAGAGGGGATACGCACACAAATAAACGACCGTGTGCGTGTGCGCGCGGCGCATTGGCTATTTTCGAGCGACGAAAGGACGCAGACATACAATTTGTTGTTTCTTTCTTTTCCGAATATATAGCTATAGCGAGTTTGAGGAGCTATAGACTGTTGCCGCAGAATGATGTTAGGCTTACTTATTATATCTTGCCGCTCGCACGTATATCGCATGTGCTTCTTTCTCTTTTTATATGTAATATTGAAAGAAATTTTTTAATGTAAAGGAAATATACATATATATGTATATACCGAATTCTGGTAAACTCGTTTAATTAACAAATTAATTATTCTTTACGGGAATCGGGTAAAGCGATAGCGTGTCGCGCCAAGTATATACAGGGTGTCCCAGAACAATCTACGAAGCTCCTGTGAGAAAGTAGAGCGGGTTAAAATGTATATAAATGTCCTATATCGTTTTGCGATATTCGTAATAATAACCGAGAAACTAACTGCGAAATATTAAGGAAAAGTGTGTGCTGAACCGTAGGGGACGGACCGCTCGAGTTACAGCGCGATCCAATAATATAGAGCGCGGATGTCGACGCGTGGCGATTGGAAGACAATGCACCACTTTCTATACTTATAACATTGTGTTCCTACATCTCGCCTTGGCGTGGTGCGGCAAAATGTAGGTGCACAGCGGTATAAGCATAAGCAGTGGTGCATTCTCTTCCAATCGTCACGCGTCGACATCCCTGCGTTGTATTACTGAACCGCGCTGTATTACTGACCGCGACTTGTGCGGTCCGTCCTCTACTATTCAGTACACCCTTTTCCTTAATCTTTCGCAGTTAATTTCGCAGTTATTATTACGAATATCGTAAAACGGTATAGCACATTTATGTACATTTTAACCAGCTTTACATTCTCACGAGAGCTTCGTAGATTGTTCTGGGACACCCTGTATATACTTGGCGCAACACGCTATCGCTTCACCTGATTCGCGTAAAGAATAATTAATTTGTTAATTAAACGAGTTTACCAGAATTCGGTATATACATATATATGTATTTCCATTTTATTAAAATATTTCTTTCAATATTACATACAAAAAAAGAAAGAGACGTGCGATATACGTACGAGCGGCAAGATATAATAAGTAAGCCTAACATCAATCTGTGGCAACAGCTTATAGTTCTTCAAACTCGCTATAGCTATATATTCGGAAAAGAAAGAGACAGCAAATTGTATGTCTGCACTGTTTCGTCGCTTGAAGTTAGCCAATATGCTGCGCGTACACATACACGGTCGTGCACATACTTGTGTGCGTATCCCCTCCTACAGCATGCTGCTTGGATCTACAAATGGCATTACTGCATATCGGTAGTAGCAATCAGTATCTCAAACGCGTCTCTTATTCATAAACCATGGAGCGCGCTTCTCGCGAAACCGCGCTTGATCTCTATAGATGAGACAACTACTATAGTCTTCAATTAAATCGTTGTTCCGTCCTTTACCATTCAGCACACGCTTTTCCTTAATCTTTCGCAATTAATTTCTTGATTATTATTGCGAATATCGCAAAACAGTACAGGACTTTTATGTACATTTTAATCCACTTTACATTTACACAAAAGCTTCATAGATTGTTCTAGAACACCCTATATAACACTTCAGAAAATAATTCAATTACTACTGAATGTTTTTTATAATGTACATTACGTAATGTAATAGTATAATCCTTATATATAAAAATGTTCAATAAAATCATTTGTGCGGAAAAAATGTGTTATTTTTTAATAATAAATAATTTTGTGTGTGGGTGTGGCAATAATGCTACGAAGATAATAATACTAATTAATATTTTAAATGTGTAGCTTTAATACTTTTTATGTGAAAGAGATTAGATTTTTAACATACAGATTGTTAATTTAACATTTTAAATGTGTAGTTTTAACATTTTTTACATATAAAATTTAAAACTTTTAACACATTGATTGTGTTAACTTAACATTTTAAATATGTAACGTTAACATTTCTGGTATGTAAAGATAGCGTTTTTAACATATAGATTATATCAATTTAACATAGATTATATCATTTTCATTTCATCAAAAACATAGATAATATTTTTCTGAAATGTAAAACATTTTATTTAGTTAATTCAACATTATATGTCAATTTAACACAAACTGAGATTCCTGAAGGCATTTAAATGTTAAATTCTTGTGTTAAGGTGTTACACATTATGCGTACTTTTTAACATATTTTACTTTTTAACATATTTGCTTCGTGTTAAATTAACACATAAATGAGAGTGGATGATTTGGGACACATGAAATGTGTTAAATTTAATGCATAAGTTTTTACAGTGCATGTAAAATATTTATTATATGTGAAAAATTTTATTTTAAACAATATCTATTTAAAATATATACCAAATAATATTTTGCTATATTTACATGGTCAAAGTTCGAAGCATATTTAAATAAGCAACAGATGTTTTAATCACCTGAAATGTTTAATTTCAATAATTAATTCAGATTTTAAAATACCGTGCACGTAACGTCTAGAGGAAAGTAACCAAAAGCGACATAGGCTTCCTAAAGCGACATACCTCTATATCTCATATATTAAATGTTATATTTTATCGAAACTAATATAAGCATAATCCATTTTATCAGTTAAGTCATAAAAAATTCATATCTGGTATCTTCATTGTTCCTTTATATGCTAAATTAGCAAATATCGAGTTTTAGAAATTCGCAAGTTTTACTTCTATGATTTTTATTGACGAATTACGTAGACTAAATAGCGATAATTATCATTTTGTTCAATTTTAAGTTTTTCTACATGCATTTGGCTTTTGTAAAAATATTTTTTAAATATTTTTACCTTCATCACTTTTTTACTGTATAACTTGGAAAATTTGATGAGAATATGTCTTAAAGTGACATACCTACAGTATGCGATAGACGCGATACTCTGTGATTAACATAACTTGATTAATAACCTCCCATTGTGACGTAACATTTGTTTATTTTAAAGTTTAATTTTATTTAGTTTAAAAATATAACATATGTAAAATATGTAAGAAAATGAAAAAGATGGAAAACGATATGTATTTATTTAATTATATTTCTCATTTGTAACATTATATTTTGAATAAATGAATATTATTCCACAATTAAATGCATTAATGAACTATTTAGTATCAAATATTATCATATATACGACAGGTTATATAAATTCAAATAGGTATATCGCTTTTGCCACCTATTTTCTTTGAACTCTATTTTCGTGCGTTTTACGAAAATATTTTTTGTTTTAAATCTAGAAACAATTTCAATAAAAATGTAATATTATCGGATAGAAAGTACTTCCAACTATATATATATATATATATATATATATATATATATATATATATATATATATATATATATATAT